TGTAATAAAAGAAAACCAAATAATTTAATCAATTAACTTCTAACCATGGAAGAAACACACAATTAAAATAATTTAAATAAAAGATTAAACACTTAAATAAATGCCAGGACTATCCTTTTATAATTAGGAGTATTACACCTTGTGAATGCAGATACTCAATCAGTATCTCAGTATTCCTGGTACACTTGTTCAATTATAAAATAATTTATTATTATAGAAAGGCATTTAGAGAATAAATAAAAAAATGCTCACTTAAGCATTTCTCTTTATTTTTCGGTCATTTTAGGGAAATATTGTTTAATTTTGTTCATTAAATTCTAATTTTCCCTCAATTGATGAGTTTTGTCTTATGGAAACCATGGCCTGGCTACCATAATCAGAGGAGATTTTCTGTGCAGGGTAGCCTATTTTGCAAGCTCCAAAAAGTATTAGCTCAAAATCTTGCCTCTTAAATCAATTGTTTTGCCCATGAATCTCTTTGGTTTGGATGTTTCTGGATCCCTTCCTATTGCATTCATATGATGTACAGCATATGGTCATGATCAAACTGCTTCTTTTCTGGCATATATATAAATTTTGAATTGTGTATGCTGGCTTTCCTTTTTGGTTTTCTGAATATGTTTTATCATAACTCAGGGAAGAAAAAAAAAATCAAAGTTCTCACACCGAGGGAAGCTGGATATGATATTAAACTCTCCAACAAAATGCTACTCTTTCGTCCCTCTGCTGAACATAAAAAGGTGAATGCTTTTCCTTCTCAATTTTTCTTTTCCTTTGAAAGCATATTTTGTGAACATGGATGGCAGATGTCATACTTTCTGGACTCCTCTGGTACTCGGATCAAAATTTTATACTCTTTATCACTCTTTACGTTACTTCCTGACACTCCTCTGATTCCTATAATGGAGGAAACATGGCGGCTCGGGTGGCTTATAGGGCTTCTGCAACGCGCATGGAAGAGGGAGAGAAGATGAGTAAAAGGTGAAGTAACTTTTGTGGGTTTTTACTATTACAAGCTTGGGGGTATTTTCGGTATAACACATTTAAATACACTTCACTTCTTTGGCACATGTGATAGCAGGAGTATTTTTGTCACAAAAGTCAAATTGTCAAAGCATTTGTTAACCATGTGTTGGGTTAACAGGGCCAATTGCTAGAGTTGGGGTAAAATGATAACGTTGCTATATTGTTGGGGGTTTTTAAAACTGGCTGGGGTTTTATGATCATTTTTTGATAATTTTGGGAGTTTTGAGAAATTTGCCCTACAATACAACAATATATTTAATACTAGTATAAAGAATAATATCATTAAATCAAAAATGCAATATATTTAAAAAAGAAAATGAAAAAACAAGGTGTTATGTTATTAAACATTGAAAAGATAGTAAAAATGTCTGGTGCCATACAAATGTAGGAAAATAAATCCAGTAATAAATTACATTGATTTTTTTAAAAGTTTGAACAACTTACACACTAACGAGTAGATTCATTTACCATTTATTATTTTGCCATTCTTTAAACCCATTTGTTCGACACTTAAAATTTGATTTAAGTGTGAAAGGTCACTTGTGCCTTTATATTATAATAATATATTATATCAATAAAATTTGGTCAGGAATTATATCGAAGAGAAAGCATTACCAGTAGCACACGGTCAATATAGAGTTAATTTAATTTAAAACAACTTAAGGAAGCACTCAAAAATAGCCTCATGAAAAAATAATTTAGGCAAAGGTAATTATTAATTTGTCAATTTTGATTGTTCATAGATACGTAAGGTCAAAAATACCCCTAAGCACTTTTGAAGACTTACAGTCTTACCCTTAACATATATTTTTTTTCTCTATCTCAATTTCTATCTTACTTTACCAAATTCCATCTTACTTGACCAAATTGCAATCACTCGTTCTCTCGCCTATGACATGATTGTTCTCTCTCTACAGAAGATGAAGAAGGCATCTAGCGCACGATTGTTCTTTCTCTATAAGACAAAGATGACTCAAGTGGAGCTTTGGGAGTTTTGTCCCTCCATTAGCGCCTCTGCATATAGAAATGAGCTTTACCTTTCACACACCAATTTTGTTAAAGGAGTCACAACTTTCAGTAAAGGTTTTATATTAGTGCAGTGACTGTTCTACTTTTTTTAAATGAAAGTTCTACAATATTTAGTCAAATATTTAATAAGGGTTTTACATTAGTGCAATGACCGTTTACTTTATTTAAGTACAAATTTTACATTATTTAGTAAACGTTTTACAGCCTACAATATATATTTTTTTTAACAAATTAGTATACGAGTGCATCAAAGGGGGTGGTTGGATGAAATAGCCGGAAAAAGTGGTTAGTGGAGGTTACCGAAGGTGGGGAAGGCTTCACTCATATGTAAATAAGGGCATTTGCGTAATAGCCTCAATAGTTATAAAGGGTAATTTAAACCTAAAAAGTAAAAACCAACCTATTAATAATTACTCATTCCTAACTTATTTTAGGTTGGTTTTTACTTTTTAGGTTAAATTACCCTTTATAACTATTGAGGCTATTACGCAAATGCCTTTATTTACATATGAGTGAAGCCTTCCCTACCTCTAATGACCTCCTCTAACCACTTTTTTCTAGCTATTTCATCCAACCACCTCCTTCAATCACCACCACCGCCGCAGCTTCCCATCACCGCTACCACCTTTCACCATCGCCACTTACATCATTATCTCTTTCTATCACCACCACGACACTACTGTCACTTCCTTCCACCACCGCCATGACCGCCTTCCACCGCCGTCGCAATCTTCCACCATTGCCACTGTTGCCGCCGCCCAACACCACCACCACCACCGCCACTGCCACTAATTTATTTTAAAAAAATTATTAGAAAATGTTATTTTGTTAATTTAATTTATTTATTACTAAAAGGGATTTTTTAGAGAATTCAATTTAAAATTTATTCCATTATAAATTTTAAATTGGTTCAATCAAACACTAGAATGATTATTATCATTCAATTCTACACATTTCAAATTTACAACCAAACAATAAAATGAGAATCTCATTCCATTCCATTTCTGCATACCAATCGCAGCATAAGGGTATTTTTTTCACTTTGCACTTCAAAAGCATTATCGGAAGAGATAAGGATATTTTTGGAATTTTATATTTTAAGTGTAATTTCAAACTTTTTTTTTTTTTTTTTTCCTTCTCATTTTTCAAACTTAACAGACTTATACATACCGTCAAGATGGCAATGGGTCGGGTTAGGGTGGGTTTCTCATTCCCCATCCTCATTTAAATTTGGCACCCCCAAAACCGCCCCATAACCGATTATTTTTTTATCCCTAATCCCCATAACCGTCCCAGCCTAATGCCCGTTTGCCTCGCCCCCCGTCCCGTTTTAGAAGATAGGAATAAGTAAGGTTTATTTAGAAGTGTATATACAATATAATATGATATATATATATATATATATATATATATATATAATATGTTAAATCGGTAAGTACAATAATATGGCATGGGCTAATAGGATTAATTCCACATGTAATCGGGGTGGTTGCGGGGCGGGGGTACCCTTCCCTGCCCTCGCTCCAAATCCGGCCAAATTTTTTTTCACAATCCCCATCCCCACCCAATTTAAATAAACGGTTCTCCCAACCCTCTTTAAATGGGGCGGTTTCCCACCAGTTTGGGATAAAATGCCATTCTATACACAATATGAACCCTTCTTTACGCAGACTTATTTTTTCAAACTTAACGGACCTATATGCACAATATAAATAAGGGTAAAGGGCAATAAACCCCCCCGAACTTTACTCTCTCTCCCAAGAAATCCCCCCCGAACTTTACTCTCTCTCCCAAGAAATCCCCCCAAACTTCTATTTTTACAATAAACTCCCTAAACTATTCATCACCGGACCCAATATATAATTTCAAAATGACTGAATTACCCTTTAAGAAAATAAATAAATAAAAATTCCAAATTAAAACGTCTTTGTTTAACCCTAATTTTCTTAACAAGTCGCCATTGCCATCAGCAACGACTAGTCAAGTGCGTGCTCAAGCTCGCCGGCGTTAGTGTCGTCTTCCTCAACATCGAAGAAGTTCCCTGCTATTTCTTCTGCCACACCCATGTTCACACCCATTTGACTTGTTTCCCAATTTTCTATTTCCAAACAGTTTTCGATGAACTTTCGGAAAAAACTACCCACGCTACAACGATCTATTCACACTTTGATGCTTTAGAAGCCGTGTTCGACAATTTTTGGATTCCAAAGATTCATACAACAACAATTGCTATGGCTGCCAGGAAAGGACACGCAGTCGTTTATTTCGTGATTTTTTCTATTTGATTTGCCAAGTCGAGTCTGAGACAAAATATCAGGAGTTGGCCGTGATTCTCGCTTGCGTTATGGGGGTGGAGATGGCGGTGGTTATGGGGATAGTTGGAATGATACCTCCGCATCTGTGCTAGTGGTGGTGGTGGTGTCGCCACGACTGGGTCAAAGGACAGACGGTGGTTGGTAGAGAGAAGATTAGGGGATTGGGATTATGAGATTACTTAAATGGCCCTATTATTAATGATGTGGCAGTATATGATGTGGATATTTTTGTCCAAAAATAATGGTGATAAGGTATTTGTGGTGTCACAATATTATTTGTTGTTACTAAAGGGTAATTTTGTAATTCAACATTTTTGGTTAGCTCAGGTGTCGGCAAATTTAGATTTTGTTCTCAAATTATACGTTTTTAAATAGTTCAGAAACATTACTTAGTTTAGGAAAATTTTATGCTTTTGGTTGAAAATTCCAGGGGTTTATTGTCCTTTACCTATAAATAATAAAAATATTATTTGTCCAAAATGTAAATTTTAACCGCGCTTTTCTCGCTTTGTCTTAAAATTAATTCAGAGGGGTTGGTGGTCCCCTCACTAATTAATCCTAACGTAATAAATGTTTTGTGTCAGCCTGGGGATGATGCGCCCATCAATTGATACTCAACGGCACTAAACGCCCCGTTTAACCTCGCTGTCCCACACACACACACTTATCTCTCTGTCACAGTAGTCACAGTCGCAGTTTCTCATGTCAACCACCGAACCCTTGGGCGAAAACCGGATCCCTCAATCGGACAACCCAAACCCGCCTGAATCTCATCAAAACCACGCCGACTCTATCTCGCCGGATCCTCTCTTACAATCTGGTACCTTCATAGACGCCACCGTCAATCCCCAAGAAGAACAAACCCCAGGCAGAGCTCAAAATGGCGGTGTAGAACACACCGAATCACGCCAACCCGAACCACTTCAATCTCACCATGACGAGCCGGTGGCCGGCATTTCGAATTCTGCAAACGGGGTAACGGCCGCGCCGGTGGCGGAGAAGTCTCCGTCATCGCGTCGGAAGAACAAAGTGGCGGAGGCGACGGCAGCCTCCGCCCTTGTGCCGGAGAGACCGGACTGGTTGCCGGAGGATTGGACGATGCAGTGCACGATTCGGTCGTCCGGTGCCACTGCAGGATCGATTGATAAGGTAATTCCTTCTCTCAAATTGATAATTTACGGCGGAAGGATTAATTCTCATACAGTTCGATTTATTTATTATCTTTTTGTGTTGATGACGCTTTGTAAATTAATTAAAAGTCTATGTTAAGGATTTGATGTTATGTACATTTATTTATCTGTTTATAAACTTCCTTTCCTACTTGGCATGAATTCTTGGCGATTAATTTGGGTATCAAACGCTATACATCTCAAGAATTCAGTAAGGCTTTGGGATAAATTTCCTAGTGATATTCTGAATGCTGGGTTATTGCATGTTGGAAATATATGGCAAATTTGTTGTGATTCAACCTTTTCTGAAATGGTTCACATTTTTTTTAATTATTTATTTTGGGGTTGGGTGGTGTTGGCAATTGTTATCTGACAGGATGCATTGAATAGTCCTGAATTATACTGGGTAATTTTTTTTGTGTTCTTTAATGTAAGAACTAGGATATGTTTTGAGATAAAAGTTTCATTAACTTTGGCACTAGCTCCGTTCAAGGTTGTTAGGTTTGGGATTCTAAGCAGGATCGATGGATGGTAAATGGTTCCTAAGATTGGGATCATAGGATCGGATTGAGGATCACAAGTTTCTATAGAACTAAGTACAAAAATAACTTAAAACTAACTTTCCAAATAAAACTACTTTCAAGATAATAGAGAATGATGCTAAAGCAGCTAAACACAACATCATATACATACTAGCAAAAATATTTAATATTGAAAGATACTAAGAGAGTAAAATACATGACAAACACCTAGAAACTAATTTTTTGAGTTCTATGCAAGAACGTCAATATAACAGTCAAGCAGAATTCCATAGAAAGCAATCAAGGCAAACCCTAAATAGAGAGAAAAATGAAACAGAGAAATAAAGAGAGAACAATTTTAGTTGCCTAATCATCTGGGCAGTTTTGTTGGAAAACAACCTCTATCCCTAATAAGATAAACTGTTCGGGGCCTCTTTGAGGTTATGCATATGTTAACCATGTAGCTATCATGGTAGCTTGCAAGCTCAGCAGAAGAGCCGTGCGCAGTTTCTGTTTTTACGAAAGAGCAATATACCCATAGATAAAGGTGTCAAATCTGGGCTTTCCGTCTTTTTCTTTCTTTGGTCGAGCTTTCTTGAAGGATTTCCCGATTCACTTCCGATAGACTTTATTTTGGTTAAGAAGATGAACAAAACAGAGAGAGAGAGAGAGAGAACATCATTGTTATGTTCAGAATGGACAAATAATAAGCGGGGGAACTGAGGTGTCTTTGTTTTGAAAAGAAAAATCAAGAATAATTGAGCAAAATAGAGGAACTTGTAGAAAATTTAAGTCACACATTTGAAGTTTAGAGCTCGATCATGTCTACCTTTGAAGTTGGGTCTCTGCTTAAAACCTTGAATTTCTTTGCCAAGAATGGGTTGTAGGTCCAAATAAATTGAAAAAGAAGAACAAAACAACATGATTCCGTAGGTCGATCATACGGTCCTACATAATTCTACGATCTTAACTCTGATCCTACTGTGATCTTACTTCCAAGTGATTCTTCATGTGATCTGGATCGATTTGGCAATTCAGATTCGTAGGATCATCATTTGATAGTGTTTTTATTTCTGTTTCATAGAGTTAATTGAATACTGTTTTTATTTTTATGATTTAAGAGGACCTTCATTTGATAATTAAAGCCTCAAATTGGATTAGAACCATTAGATTGAATTTTGGGGTTCTTCATATAACAGATCTTAGTAAGTTCATTCCAAAAGAAGAAAAGGAACTGGGTTGTAATTGGATTTTCCTTGAAATCTGCAATAATTCAGATGGACGATTACCCAACAAAGTGGTCACTGCTCTTAATCAAGGCCCCCTTCCAATTATTTTACTCTCTTTATGCATGTTTTGATGAACAGAAGAGGAGAGGGGGGCTTGGGGGTGAACCAAAATTTTTAAAGGTTGGGATGATCTTTGGTATGCAACTTTGGCTGTAATCATTTATCCATCATGATGGTATCGCGGTTGCATAAGTTGGAAACATGGACTAGCTTTTTTTTTTTTTTTAAAAATGATTTTAACCAATTTCACGGGTATCCATCATGGTATCGCGATCACATAGCTGATTTTTGGATGTTCAGGTTAGAGCTCTAGGTTGGATCAAAATCCGATTTCAGCTTGAATCTGACTCAATTGAACCAATTTTGATATATTGGTCTTGGATACAAAACCAATTTAAGAAATTTAATTATATTTTGATCATTTCCATGCAGATTCGAACTCTATTAAATTTATTTAAATAACCTATTTCATATATAATTTTCATAGAAATAATTTAATAATTTCCCAACTTCTTACATAGCTCAACAAATTTCTCTCTCATATCTTTGGGCTTGGCTAATGAAATACTATGATATAATCTTTTTGATAAGTTTATCATAATATATGATATAATGTAAGTTTAATTACTAAATTTTGGGTAAATTACTGATTGACCCTTTTAACTTTGGGTTTGAATTGATCTCCCATGTTTCAATTACAATGCTTTTACCCTATGTTTTAAGCATTGTTTAAATTAACCCCCTTCATTGATGCCGTATTGTCACATGACTGAATAGTAAGTAACTAAGTAATTTAACTAATTTGCCTATAATTTGTAAAATTCTTTAATTTCTCTTTCTGTGAAGCTCTACTACCACTAAACCACCACGTCATCTTTACCATACAACTTACCATTAATCGTGCCTGTTTTCAATTTCCCCTCTCTAAATAGACTCAAACCTAAAGCACCATCTGCTCCACTGTGATGGTGGTGAGGTTTTTGGTTAATGGAGGTGGTAATGAGATATTTTTTGGGAGAGAAAGTAGGGGGATGTGTTGAAGTGTTTGGCTCAATGAAGGTGAGGTGAAATAATCTGTATTATAAGGGTATTATTATAGTTCCATTATTTTCATTGCATTAGTTAAATAGGTCCTTAAGAAAATCAAGGTGTAGAAGTGTGACTTATCAAAAAAAAAAAAGTGTTCCAATTGAAACCATACATGCTCAAATCAAACCTAACTTTATGTGGAGAGGGTGCATAATTACTTATCCTACAATTTATTAGTATAACATACTTCATATATATATTATTTGTAAAATTAATTTAATAATTTCATAACATGTCATATAATAGAATGAAATTTTATATATTAAAACCGTAGTTTGATATATTTGTGTCGGATTTGGATACTTGAATACTTTATTCTAGTATGAACTTGGTTACTATTAATTAGGATCACCAGTTCCTAAATTGGTTTTGGATCTCAGTATAAATGATTATAATTGAATCCAGATGTTACTAAATTTGCAACAAGTCTAACCTGTCCAGACTCCTTTTTATTTTTATTTTTATTACTATTAATTAGGACCACCAGTTCCTAAATTGGTTTTGGATCTCAGTATTAATGATTAGAATTGATTCCAGATGTTGCTAGATTTGCAACAAGTCTAACCTGTCCAGACTTTTTTTTTTTTTTTTGATTAGCCTAATCCGTCCAGAATCCTATTGTGTCACAGTTGTAGTTCCTTTGAACCACTGTTGGCATTTACTTTCTAAAGCTAACTTTTAAAACCAAAATGGAAAAATTGGAGCTTTTGGAAATGGGAACTTCAAAAGCCATTTAAAAATTTAGACGTTATGGACAAGTGGGGCTTTTGAATTTTGATTGAATGAGACCTTTAAAGTAAGCCACACCCGGTGGACTTCAAAATGTTGGAATTTTCAACTATAGAACATCAAAATGTTGGACTTTAAAATGTTGGAATTTTCAACTATAGAACATCATTTTAATGTATAAAACATGGAACTCAAGTTTTCTCTACAAATAAATTTTATTGTATTATTTACTCATTATTGTAACACATTTCTGGATCATTCTTCAAATGCCTAAAATCTTTTTTTTTTTTTTTTTTGGTAAGCGAAAATGGTCCCTAAAAGTTGTTAGAAGTGATGTGATATAATTTTTCTTACAATATTAATCTTGTATATGCAATGAGGAAAACATAGTTCAAAAAATTAGAAAAATGCAATTGAAATAAATAGAGAAGGAAAATTGATATGACAAATAAAACACATAGAGAAAGAAAACAATAAGTTACATGTAATAAGAGAAGTGGTAAAGAAATTCATTATTAAAAAAATTAATTTTCCTCCAACAATTGTTTCAAATTTTTAAAAATTCATTTTTTGATATTTTTTTAGTAGTTTGATTTCACTTTGAGAAAGATATATTTAATTATTCCATTAATGAGAAATTAAAAACAAAATAGTATCATTTTAACTAAACAAAATCCGGCACATTTTAATTAAACACAATTATTAGAAACAAAATAAAGAAATACTTTAACAACTTATACAAAGGGTAACTACATAATTTTTCATTTAACAAAAGACTTTAGTGTTCCCTTCTTCCTAGCTCAAAAGATTCGCAAATGGATATTAGCATATAATTTAAGATATTTTTCCTTATAAACTCCATCTAACAAAAATATAGAATGAAGATACATGTATATTTATTAAACGGACACGATTGTATGAGTTCTCTTTTTTCTCTCTTGAATTCAAACAGTCCATATCATACATATGTGTATATTATTGTAAATGTAGTAACAGTATGTTAGCCCACCATAATAATGAACTTACATTTTTGTTTCACAATATTGGACTTCAAAAGTAAAGCCTAATAATAGGAATTAAGTTAAAATACAATTTTGAAAAATACAAGTTTTATTTAGTTCCATGCACACTAATTTTTTTTGCGAATAAGTAAGTGTTTTGGAAAAATTTGGAGGGGCCAATTTAATTTTTTCTTATGAATTTTGGGACCAAAAGTTGGACTTGTTTGCAAAACAATATATTCTTTTTTAGGGTATACGAAAAAAATTCAATTTTTTTTTTTTGGGGGGTGGCGCCCACCCCCCCTGCCCCTGCTCATGAGAGACTTATTAATATATAATTTCTCCATGGGT